AAAAAAAAATACATTTTATCTATGCCCGCTTAGAATTTATAATCGTATGTACATCCAAGTTATTACATCAAATTTGTAAAGCGCAACCCCTTGACCAAGCTCCCAGAGTGCATTGGTTCTTCCCTGAAACTTATTCCATCCACGAAATCCGATTGCAAACTACACGGATATTCGGAACCGTATGCATCCGTACGCCACATAAGCTTAATTTTATACTCAATATCGGGGGTAAGCAACAGCCCCTCATCCCACTCGATATTCATATCACAATTGTATCTAGTCAGCTGCTTTATAACATTATGCTGCCAAAGTAAGGTCTCAGCGCTGATCGCCGCATTGCCCTCTTGATCACTCACTTCATCACTTCTTTCATTAGCGGATGCTAAAATTTCAATATGCAAATTTTCACTGTACTCGCTGGGTAGCTTGAACGCGTAATGTGCCAGTGGTGATAGGCGACTGTAAATGATGAGACCATGCAATGCAATAAAACGATTGCATTTGACAAACACGGTCCATTCATGTGTATCCTGGTCGACAGTGAAGGGCCGGCATGCCTTAAAATAGCTACGTTCGATAGAATTACAGGTTTGTCGCTGTGGCGTTTTTAGCTTCAATACTTCGCATTCCTCATCACTGTAGGCAGGCAATTGCAGATCATTGATGATTACTGCACAATCTTCTTGCTGCAATCCTAATTCATGGCATTCCTGCTGGCACCACTCGTAAACGAACCACAACACTTGCTTTCTAGTCTTCGCGCAATTATTAGCTGCAATTATTGCCTTGACGCATTCCTTGGATACATGCACATAGTGACTCTTATGCGATGTCATAAATTGTGGATTGTTGAGACAGCAGCGGTTAAAGAAAGACATGCATACCTCCAGCAGATCACGCAGATCCATGCAGACGCAAAGCTCCAGCGCAGGTAGAATATTTGTGTAACGTAATTTGCGCGCTATCGTCAATAAGCAAGTGTTCGTCAGGTCAGTGATTAAATATTTCTCAGCGCAATAGTATAGCTCAATAGCCTCTTCTAGCGAAAGGGACACCGGCATGACACCGGCGTAAATAAAATTTAGAAGCATTTGAAAAGTTTCGGCGCCAATGTCCAAAATCTCAATTTCTTTTTGTTGCTCGCGTATTGGACCATAGAACATGGCCTCGAAAACTGGACTGGCTGTGGATAATATTAATTTGTGACATTTTAGTTGTGCACCGCCAATGTGAAATACGCAGTCGTAGTATTTCTCAGAGCGTAGTAATTGTTCGAATCGGCGATTAAATTGTGCATTCATTGTAGCGTTATCTAAGAGCTGAAAGGCCAGTTGCGCGGCTTTGGTCTGAGGCGAATGCACTGGTTGCGATAAGCTCGATGGGAATATTGAATACATCTGGAAAGAGAAAATATCATTTATTAAATTAATGCTGCAAACAATTGATAAGTGCTTGCATGAAACTTTGTATTATTGAATTACTGTTAAAAGTAATAAAATGTATGATAATTATATGTTTGAGGGCTGCAAATATGCCTAAATCTCAAGAATTTTTCTTACAGTTTTTTTCTAAATGAACATTTTAATTCAGAAGTGGAATATAGACTCGTAGGGCCGTTAACTTACATATATTTTTTGAAGTATAGTTACAAAAAATCCGAAAACCGATCCGAAAACGGAAAAAAGTCGACGAAAACCGGATTTTTGCCCGTTTACCGATTCCGTTTCCGGATACTTTAATGGTCCGTTTTCCCAATAAAGTGTGCGACAGAAAAGTATGTACAGAAAAGTACCGAAAATGGTGGTGAAAAGGATACGTTTTCG